ATGTGGCAAGCGACCTTTGAGTGTTGTGTAGGAGTAGGTCTAAAGGACGATGACGCCCTGTAGAATTTCTATGTATTCTTTTTCTTTTATATTTGGACGTAACATTATATAACTTTTTTCACAAACATTTTAATAGCTTATGTATTGAAATATTTATTATATTTTCTAAAATATGTATTATGATTTCATTCGTCGTCAATATCCATATTTGTTCGTTCAATCTTTTGTGAGATATGCTTGACGTTATTATTGAGTTTTTTATTTTTCCTTGTAGGGATGAAAATTTTATTGGCTTTTGATATTCTTTTCATTTTTAATATAGCTTTGCGGCTGATTTTCAATCCATTAATTAATTCTTGAACTATTCAACCACAATTTTAGACATTATTAAACGGCTTATAATTTCTATCTCAAGTGATCCTATGACAGACAAATCAGCTGCAAATCATATATAAATTATCGGTGGCATAAATCACCGCAAATTCAGATCTTAATTATACGGCTGATCGTTTCTTCCATAAAGCATCATGCACCTGCAAAAATCGCCGCAAATCAATCGATAAAGGTATCAACAGAATTTTCAGTCGCATATTCTTTTGCGACAGGTTTTAAAAGCAGAAATTCATATTTTTACAAAATGATTTTTTAGTCATCTTTATTTTCTATAGCAGTCGTTCCGAAGATATAAGATAGATCGAACTCGCCAAGTTCGACTGCCACTTGAGGAGTCTCCTAGAGTGCATGAGTTTGGTCAGTACTGATTTAAGTGGGCAATCGATGATAACTTGTACTCAATGCATCTAAAAATAAGGGCGAAGCTTCAACACTGAAATGATCAAAACAAAAGTTAATTTTTCCTTAATAAAATACCTGAGTTCCGATCCTCTCAGGACCCAACTGATGTAGAAGATTGAGAATTACTTTTCTCGATCTTCCCGTACAAAGACTGAGTTGATCGACTCGAGTCCACCTCCCAAGTAAATCTAGATTTCATCGCCCGATTTCAGACTTTGAAGCAAAGTTGGTGAGGCTAAAAAATCTTTCAACCATTGAAAGGCTCCTCACATTCATTTGTCCATACAAAACCTTTTGTATTACTGAGGATTTTGAAAAAGGTTGCACATTTCTGCCCTGATTTAGAGATGAATTAGCTTAGACTTCTGATTTGGCTTGCTCGCTTCTATAGTTCTTTGGTGTTGTTGGGGGTGGCATGTCCACGAGTGCTGAATCATTTCGTGGATGGCTTTGATCCCTTTCGGGGATAGTTAGGTAACCCAACGATTTTTCAGTTCCTACTCCAAATGTACATTTTAGTAATTTCAATTTCATATTATATTTCTTAAGCATTTCAAAGGTTTCTTTTAAGCTATCTATATGTTGTGCGGGTGTTTTTCTTTTAATGAGCATATCATCGACAATTCAATATTTTTCTTTTTTTAATTCGTAAAAATTACATCAATCATTCTCAGATAAGTGATGTATGTGTTCTTAAACCCAAAGAGAACTACAATATAACTAAAGATTCCCTTTCTAATGATGAATGCGATTTTTTTCAGCATTCGCTCGAAAAAAAAGCTCATGATTGGATGGTCAACCATGGCATCCACGAGTGCGTTGATCTGTGGTAGGGCGTAGCTGTCTTTAGGCAAGCTGCATTGAGAATAGTGAAGTTCATACATTCACCACTAGTCATTGGCCTTCGAAATCATCATCAGATTAGCCACCTAATATAGGTCTTGGACTTCCCAGATGTACCCTATCCCTACTAGATTTTGCACCTCTTCCTTGATCGCTTATGCTAACGTGGGGGCCCCCTGACCTCATCTTCTATTTAATGGGTCCAACTTATGGGTTGATGTTGAGGCGATGACACACGACGTTAGTAGAGACTCGCGGCATTTCTTTGGTTGACCAAGCAAACTCATCACAACATCCCAAAAGTGTCTAGATGAGCTCCTTGCGACTTACATCAAAAGTTATACTTACAAAAACTTATCGGCCTTGCCAAACGCAATCGGGATTTCTTCAATAGCTTTGATAGTGTCCATGCCGCTTCCTCACAGGGTACCAGCCCAGTGGTTCCTAATGCACACTACTGATAGCTCGCAAATAAGAGCCATGTGATTGCTCCGGGTCTCATGATATTGATCTCTCTGTCGCGGAGGAATTTTATTGTCATGCGATGAGTAGCGACAACTACATTGAAAGTATTAAGCAGTGGTCGACCAAAGATAGTATTGTAGGTTGATGGTAAATCGACTAAGACAAAGTCAAACCTAGCACTTAATTGGTTATAACCTAACATGACCAAAAAATCGACTTTTACATAAGAATTCATACAGGGGCCCTAACATGACGGTCAAAAACTCGACTCCGAGATTCATCTTATTAAAAATGAACATGTATAAGATGTTCACTGAGCTACTGGTATCAACAAGGATGATGTCAATCTAGAAATTGTCGATCAAGGTGATGACAACAATCATGTCGTTGTAAGTGTTGCCCCTGAAGGGCGAGTCCTCTTCTGTAAACACAATGGGGGGATGTCGTACGATTCGCCTCTAGGAAAAGGCAGCCTACACAATTCACCCAAGTGAGCCTTTTCGTGCTCACCTGTCGGGAGGCTTCAGTCCCATCCCCTTCAAGGATGGTCGGGACTGCAATGTGTATGGCATGAGCACGGATTGGCCCATTATGGTCTTTTATCAAATTTTTCCCTTCTCGTTGAGTGACGCCCCAGACGCAAAGAATTCATTCAACATTTTGGCTCTAATGATCAGAGTCTAGATGTGTTGACACTCAGTGTTGTCAGTGATCTCGGTGGTAGGCGCAATACCTTTTTGTATCGCCCCTCTTATTTTCATTGGAGTCGATATCTGAAGAAATTCGTATTCTAGATGGTCTCTAGTACTTCAGCCATCGAGACACTCAGCAAGGTCGGTTGGGGGATCTTATGAGTCAGAGGACTCTCAAGGTAATGATCCATCTACTACTCTCGATTGTGCGCTTTTCCCATGCTTGAGATCTTTGGCACGCGTGACCCCTGGTATGTACAAGGGCCATTGTCCTCGTATATAGGTCACACTAGTGGCCGCAGAGGATGACTCAATTTCTATTTGCTCTCACAAGGGCTCCTCTTCTGCTGATGTTGTGGAGATCACTATGTACTTTGAAGGTTGGCGAGTTTTCACAACTTTGCTAGTGTCTTTGCGTGTTGCAGACCCAATGTGAAATGAAAAAAGCCTTCCCTCATGTCATGGGTGAGGGTTGCATGTGTGAACGTGAGCTCCAGATCCCACGCCTACAGCATCACTTTCTCGAATCGGGTTATGAAAGCGCTCAGATACTTTCCGTATCCCTGTCATGTCTACAGCAAGGACTGCGAGTTCTTTTAGAGTTTTTGCGCACTGACGAATTGAACTATGAAAATTCTATTGAATGTTGCGAATGAGAAATTACTCCTAGTGGGAGGCTATTGGACCCAGGTGAGTCGATTCCTTAAGAGTCATAAAGGAAAGTCAACACTTCAATGTCGTTTATCATCAGTAAGAATATTGTCAACTCAAAATATGTGACATGATCAGATGGTTAGGTTTTCCTCCATTGAGTTTTAAGGTCGAGATCTTAAAGCATTCAGATGTTTTGGCTTCAAAGATCTACTGGAAAAGCATTTTCTGGGGATTTGACAGTGGGATATTGATGTGTCCTCGCCAATCGTTGGCTAGGGGAGCTGATCCTACGTTGTTGGGGTACTATATGTCGACGCTTACACTTTGAGCTGGTGATAGAACTCTCCCTGCAATGGTGTTTATCCTCTTGCGCGCAAAGACTACTAGTTGGGATAGTGGAGCCACCCCATGTGCAAGTGTTTTCCTAATCATCTCCAGCATCTACTCCTTGAGTTTCTGGATCTATTGAGCTACAAAATCTTTGTGCACTGTATATTGCCAGTAATTTTGTGATGTCTTTCTTCTCCTTGTGTTTACCCTCTTCTTTTTTATAGCATGATGTATGCTCACCCTACCTTTTAGAGTGTTGAACCTAGATTTGTACCTAAGTCATGCTCAAGGAAAAGAGCATATGAGAGAAAAAAAAGGCCTTGAACAATGGTCGAAGAAACACGCATGAGGAAGAGAAATCATAAAAAAATGCCTTGGTCTTGAGATTTCTTCTTGGCCCAAAAGACAAAAAATTCAAGAGGAAAAAAAAAGAATCCTTGTTACATTTAATTCCCTGTATTTGTCGTGATTAGACCTTCGTTAAAATCATATTTGTGTACCCCGCCATAAGTCTAGGGTGTGGGTCCCTCAGATCCTGGTTGTCTCGCTCCCTTGGTTTATAACTTTGAGAAAAACTGGCCTTGTGTTGATTTGTGGAAGACTAATTTTCGGTGTCTTATTTCGAGTGTTAAGCTGCTTTCTCATCTCTGAACACTCGCCTCCAACCACTCATCCTTATGACACTCAACTTTGGTCCCTCAAACTTGGTCATTCGGCCTTAGTCGCTTCATTTTGCAGATTTATAGTGACGCTCGGCGACCCCATTTACTTTCGTCTACTCGGAGTGACTCTCGCTCATCAATACGTTCTAAGTCATTTGTTTCTCAATTATCTAAACCGTCTGATGTGTGATGATTTGGGCAATCACTTTTTGTACATAAAATATTCCTTTGTCAAAAAGCATGCCTTAAAAAGTCTCGAAGTACAAATGGTAAAAAGATGAAACTTAAATAATAGCGCATCTAACTTTATAAATGTAATAAATCATCCAGATGAGGGAAGATGTCTCAAAAGTATGTAACATTTGACACCAAGAAAATGCATTTACTGAAAGGAAAATCAAATTGAGATTCAATTCTATAGTTCATAGGTGTTACGTAGGTCAGGTAACAGACTTGCATTAGACCACTAGATTAAAGAAAGAAATATTAAAACACTAGAAAAGATGCTTTCCAAGTACATGAAAGAATTAAAGGTGTTAACTAAAAGAGAAACTATGACCTCAATGATGGCAAGGGTATCCAGGTTGGGAGATAGCGTTGGCTTAACACCTTTTGCAGCAAAAACTTCATCAGGTGTCCTGCGACAGATGAACTTCATTATTTCATGAATCATATGTCAAAGCAAGTATACTTAAATCATTAAATCAAACAAAACACACATGCAGATTAAATATATAACCATGGAATTAAATTTAAGGGTAAGTAGCAAAGTTACAATGTACTAAGCCGGAATTAAAAGCAAAACGTGCACTCGGGGAATCTGAAGTACCTGGCTAAAATAGGTCTTGGGCTAAGCCTGTCCTCAGGGTCACTGCATAGCATAAGGCAGAAAATGACCCTTTTTAATAAGCAAATTAACATCGGGGCCAGCCAGCTACCAAGAATCTGACAGATTTTAAATTATAAGCTCACCTTTGTACACAAACAACAGCTTCAACTAAATTTGCTTTTAGCATTTCTACTGCAATTGTTGTCACAATACCTGTCCATTGAGCTCCTGGATAGCCAAAAATAAATATTCAGTAAAATATGTTTCTTCCATTAAGCTCCCTTTGTTAATCAAAATTTTTGTGTTTCACAACCCAGTCGAAAGCACTTTTATAGGTATGATTATTAGCTACATCTGCTTAAAAGGAGTCATTAAATAATTTCATTGGGCTATAACCTTCAGATCATTTGCTACTGCAATACAGCACAATAAGTACTGCAACTTATAAGCAAGAAAATAAATAAACAAATAAAAACAAAGTCATTTTCTGTCACATCATATCTGAACCATTACAAAAACGATAGTAATCAAAGGGAAGACCGCAAACAAAAAGAATAAAGCACAGAAAACGGTATGAAGAAGTGTTATTTCATAAAGCCCAAGTTAAACGCTTCCAAGCTTTAAACAGAGAAAAAGAATAATTTTGAAGCCATGCATGGAATCCTATAACTGTAGGTGATCGAGCCTAATATTCCAGCGACTGGTTTATCCAGCACAGTGTCTATGTCAGCATAAAGTTGATGGTTCAGAAAAAACGTCCAACTCGTGAAATGATAAATCTCTCTTTTGTCACCAAAAGTATGGATGGTGAACTTAAATTATTTATGTGATAAAAAAGACAAACGCTAATAGAACATAACCGCCATTATTAAGGAATAGTAGCCCACATATTACAGCATGATCAAGGATAGTATATCTACAAGCTAAACTTCAAGTTGACACTTATCATACTGAAAACACACTCAAAGAAGAGAGAGAGGTTGCACGATATCGCAAAAGGATAAATGCATTCCCACAAGCAGTGCTGAAAAAGAATAGCATTTTGCTTTCCCAGTAAAAATGAAAAATATGAGTATCTATACCTTCAACAGGCTTTATTTTTCTAGCATATATCAATTCCTCGTGCACACCAAAGTAAATTTCATCTGAGCTACTTCCTCGTTCTCTTCCATGCACTGCAGGTTCTAGAGCCTAAGAAAAAATATGATTTTATACAATAACACGCCACCAAATAAAATATATAATTAATGATAACAGGCATTAAAAATTCAAACATGTAGAAGAAGGTAAACTTCACCATAACCTAAAGAGTAAAGACAGCAATTTAAAACCAAAAACGTGAATTTAACTAGATACAAAACACTGCATCATATCAAACTTGAATCTGTTATTTGAGCATAGACTGCAATAAAAAGAGGACAAATAAAGAGAAAATGGGTATAAGTCAATGATAAATGGAAAATGTCTTCAATATATGAAAGATTTCTTTACAAATCACAAGTAGCTTTATAGTGAAACAAACACTAAAATACTTGCTCCTATGATCCGTAGCTTTGGTACCATTCTCAAGATGCATAGCTCCATCCAAATAAGACTATATGTAAATCCAAACACATAACAATTGAAGGTATTCCAATTGGCCTCAAGCCACAAACCAGGTCCTAGAGAGTTAGAATTAGTAAATATTTAAGATGGTCAAAGTGCCGACTGCTATAGTCAACAACTATTTCTAAAGATAAAATAAGTTCTATGACAAGGATTATCAGTGGTGTCAAAAGCATGAAAGATCACTTCACATATACACGCCTAAAATGCTTGAGTTCAAGCTGACGGCTTAAGTTGAAAAAGGAATGTGCAAAAAAGCTATCCCACCTCAAAAAAATAGTTTTAAGGAAATATGGAAGAAATAATTGAAATTGGTTCTTATTTCGGCTCTAAATAAAATATAGTTCTAGTTAGATAGTGCAATGACGACGACGACGACAACAACAAAGCCTTAACCCACTACGTGGGGTCGGCTACATGAATCCTTTTTCTCCATTGCGTCCTATTTAGTGTCATATTTTCATTTAGTTCTAATAAATTAAGATCATTTTTTATACAATAAGCCCAAGTCTTCCGAGGTCTACCTCTTCCTTTCTTAACATAAGTCTGATCTAAAACATCTACTCTCCTAGTCGAATCATCAGATGGCCGCCGTTTAATTCGACCAAACCATCTAAAACGACTCTCTCTAATTTTGGCCATCACTGAAGCTACACCAACCCTGTCACGGATATTCATTTCTCATTTTATCTCTAAGTGTAAAGCCACTCATCCACCTAATCATTCTCATCTCAGCAACACTTAACATAGTATTATGCTTCTCTTTTAAAGACCAACATTCAGCGCCATAAAGCATTGCAAGTCTCACCACCATCTTCTAAAATTTTCCTTTCAGTCTAAGCGGTACTTTTCGATCACACAAAAGGCCCAAAGCATTCCTCCACTTCAACCAACCAACTTGAATTCTACTATTAACATCCCCATCTATATCAACATTGCTTTGAACAATAGATCCAAGATATCTAAATCGTTCACACCTTTTAATAATTTGATCAACAAAAGTTACACTTCTGTCACTAGAGCTACTACTACTAAAATTACATTCCATGTATTCAGTTTTAATTCTACTCAAATAAAAGCTTTTAGACTCCAATGTAAGACCTCCATAATTCAAATTTTTCCAGGGCTTTTTCTCTCATCTTATCCACGAGAAGGATAACATCAGCAAAAAGCATACACCAAGGTACATCCTCCTCTAAATGCCCAATAAAACCATCCATAACTAAAGCAAAAAGATATGTGCTTAAAGCCAATCCTTGATGTAATCCAACAGAATTAGGAAAATATTTGGTCAAACCTCCTTCAGTTCGAACAAAAGTAATAACTCTAGTATACAAATCTTTAATGACTTGAATATAAGTCATATCAACACCTTTCTTCTAAAGAACTCTCCAAAGGTTATCTGTTGGAACCTTATCGTAAGCTTTTTTCTAAATCAATAAAAATCAAATGTAGATCCTCCTTATTATCTCTACACTTCTCCATCAAACCGCTCAATAACTATAGAGCTTCCATACCAGACCTGTCCGGCATAAATCCAAATTGACTATAAGAAATCTTTGTACTACGTCTTAACCTATGTTCAATTACACTCTCCCATAATTTTAAAGTATGACACATCAACTTAATTCCTCTATAATTTGCACGCTCTTGTGCATCCCCTTTATTCTTAAAAATGGGGACCAAAATACTCTTCTTCCACTCCTCGGGCTTTTTTTTTAGTTTTTAGAATAATATTAAAGAGCTTAATAACCCAAAAACCAAATCTCTTAAACATTTCCACACTTCAATTGGTATATCATCAGGTCATACAGAAATTCCACACTTAGTTTTCTTTAAAGCCTCCTCAACATTTTTTTACTAATGCGACGGTAAAAATGAAACATTTTATTATTAGTAACAATATTAAGGTCAATAAGGTCGATCGTATTTTTAGAAACTTCATTAAAATGTTTATCAAAATAACTCACCCACTTATGTTGAATATCTTTTTAAAAGAAAAGCACTTTTTGATTTTCATCTTCAATACACTTTACTTGAGTTAGATCTTTACTTTTCTTTTCTCTTTGTTTGGCTAGTATATACATATATTTTTTACCCTCCTTAATGTCCAATCTATTATAAAGATCACTAAAAGTAGAATTTTTAGTGTCACAAATTATTCTCTTAAACTCTCTACAGTCATTCTTTTAGACTGTCTGCGGGACATGTGATATTTTTCTCAGTTCTCTAAGCTTTTACATTTAAACCAATTTTTATAACACTTCTTATATTTTAAATATTTTAACTTTTCTTGCACTTTATTATTCTACCACCAACTATTTTTATTTATAGAAACTTTTCTTGCACTTTATTATTCGACCACCAACTATTTTTATTTATAGAAACTTTTTTATTTTGATTCTCCAAGTACATCTTTTGCTACTTGTTTAGTGTTTGTTTCTTTATCTTTGTTACTTTATCCCACATAATATTAATTTCTTTATGAACATCCCAAATTTTAAAATTTTGAATTTCACTCATAAAAATAATTTTGTCTCTTTTAGATTCCCCATCTAATTCTACTATGATGAGTCCTAGTATTATTTATTTTACAACTCTTCATCAGAAAATCTAGAACTAATAATCAATGTTAGATACTTAAATCCTCACATGGAATGAAATTACAATCTTTACAATCTCTTCTTCTCATAAGAAAATAATCAATTTGTGTTTTATTAGATACATTCTTATAAATAATAAGAAGCTCATATCTTTTCTTAACAAAAGTATTAGTTTTATTAGATCCAAAAATGCATGTATACCTTACAGTAAAATGGGTAGTCTTTGGCTTTTAAAAGGTTCAAGGAATTGGAACCTATTTAAGGTTGAGAAATAGGATTTTTACACGACACAAAAAGTCTCTATTTACTTACATCAAGTTAAGATGATTGTTTTTAAATGGCTCAATAATTCATAATATATCTTAAGCCATAGTTGTCATATTTTTTATGTTTTGCGTATTTTTTTAGAATTACTTGTTTGTGTGCTTCTATTCCAATATTTTGCTCTGGATCTCTCAAATCAATGTTCTGCATTTATCACTTACCCCATCATAAGATATATCAAAAAGGGATTTTTTTAAGATCTTTGATTTGAGTGGGAACAATGGCTGATGAAGTAGAGTATAAAGTAGAGAAATTCAACAGTTCAAACTTTGGTTTCTGGAAAATATAAATGGAAGATTTATTGTAACAAAGGAAATAGTATTGCCCACTGCAAGGAATCACCATGAAACCTAAATCGATGACTCTGAAAAAATAGAAAGTACGCGATCAAACTATACTAGGTTTAGTCCGACTTTCATTTTCCTCATTTGTTGCTTTCAACATTAGAAATGAGAGAACTACAGTAGATCTCATGGTTGCACTGATAAGGATGTATGAGAAGCCTCCGGTTTCAAATAATTTTTTTTTTTGACAAAGAGATTGTTCCTTACGAAGAAGATCTATGGTACTTCAATGACCGATCAATTTAATAACTTCATTTTGTTGACATCAAGTTTGATGATGAGATCGGGCACTATTACTTCTATCTTCGTTGTCAGACTACTAGGATGGACCAGTCACAGTGGTAACTCTTCAGGGAACATGAAGTTAAACTTTGATAACATTATGAGTTATTGCTGAATATAGAAGTTTGCAAGAAAGTGAGCAGTGAAACTTCAAATTCTAACCTAAATGTTGAAAATAGAGGAAGAAATCTGGATAAGAACACGGGCATAGACAGTTTCAAGTCTAGAAAGAAAAATTTATGTTAGGAAAAGTAAAAGGCACATGTGAATGATAGAATTGCGAGAAGAAATGTCCTTTAAAAAGGACTACAAAGGTTCGAAGAAGGTTGGTGATGGAGGTTCAAATAGAAAACATTTTACAAATGTCTCCACAGATATAATCACATGTGACTCCTTAATTTATCCCTAGATAATACTGAATCTTGGATAGTAGATTTAGGAGCCACTTTTCATTATTGTCCCAACAAAGAGATGTTTAAAAATTACACTCAGAGTGATCCAGGGAAGATGTATTTAGAAGATAAAAAGACCTACAATATTGCTGAAAAGAGTGATATAGATATCAACTTAATGAAATAGTCTAGAAGTTCAAGGAAGTTAAACATGTTTCTAATTTAAGGAGAATTTTAATCTCGGTGAGCCAGCATGCTTCTAAAGGTGATTCGTAAAGAGTGATCGATTGGCACCACAAATTTGAGGATCATATAAGGAAGTTAGACATGTTTCTAATTTAAGGAGAATTTTAATATCGGGGTATGTAATGCTTTTAAAGGTGATTCGTAAAGAGTGATCAGATGAGCAAGAGTGATAGATTGAGATAATATTAAAGGCACTCTTTATGTGATCAATGAGACATCTGAATCTATAATATAACTGGAACAAAAATTAATGCAGGTCATTGGCACCACAAATTTGAGCATATGAGCTAGAAAAAAATGAATTCCTTACTTTCTAAGAACAAATTTCATGGTTAGAAGTTTATAGAATTAGATTTTTTTAAATTATGTCTATGGCAAGCAAAAGAATGTTACTC